TACGAGTGTGGAGGCCTCAAGGACCCTGTCCAGGCAGACTCTCCACCACTTCGAGCCACTGCTGGGGCAATGTCTTCACTTCTCTGAGCCTCAGTTGTCTGTTAATAAAATAGGCATAAGAATATTTATTTTGCAGGACTGTGATGAGGCGATAGCATGACAATCCAAGTAAAACACTAGCACCGTGTCTGGCTCATCCCGGGCTCTCGCTAGACCTGGCTTCTCTCATTGGCCTTACTTTTCAGCTGAGCCCCCACTAATCTTGACGTATGACTGCAGCCTCCTTCTGAATGTCCTTCCCAATGCAGCTGCCTGGCTAGACAGAGAGGGGGAGGCCCTGGGGTCATGAGTGGCACCAGAATGTAGAGTTGAAGTGTTTTAGAATCACTGGGCCTGAGTTCAAATTTGAACCTTGCTACTTGCTGAGCCATACGACCTTGAACATATTGCTTGACCTCTCCCGGCCTCACTTTCTTCATCTGGGAGACGGGGATGAATAGGCCCTTCCTTGAAGGGTAGGATTAAAGATTAAAGGCAGTAACGTGTGCTATGTATTTAGCACAGGCCCTGGAACTCAAGAATAGTAAATAGTAAGCGCTTAGTTGTTACTTCCCTCCCAGATGAGCTAGTGTAAGCCAATTCCAGCTTTTCTTGAATTCTCACGTTAGGAATGGTTAGCTTTGGGTGTCTCCAGGCCCCTCAAGGACCATACCATGGGGTTAGAGGCTCTGAGAAGGCCTCTGTCCTGTCTCATTGAACTGGCAAGTCTATAAAACCCAGAGTTCTCAGCACGCCAAGCCAGCCCAGCTATAGTCCTGGCATGGGGACCAAACGGTGACTTTGAAAATGTGTGTTTTCCTGGATAAAACCTCTAATTGGACAATTGTAGGTTTTCTGGCTTTATGTAGACTTTATGACTTTGAAAGCTCTTAAGCTGGGGTGAGGGAAAATTTATGAATGGGATTTCTTTATTTCTGCAGCACTCTGACTCATGCTGTTGACCCAACTGGGGGGCCGGGATTCCATTACTTGCTCATTTCTCTTGGCCAGGTGGTCCTTGCTCTGCCAGCTCCCTCCATGAGCCACAGCCAGGGGTGCTGGAACCCAGAAAAGGGTTTCTGGCTGCTTAAAAAATTGCCCTGGACCCAGATTGATTTCCCAGGCGAAGGAAGATGGTGCTTGAGAATTTCTCAGGGAAGCTTTACAGTTTTCTCTTAAATTTTGAAAGCTTATTTTACCAGGATTTTAAAGTCCTTTTATAGAAAACTCTGATGGTTTGCACTAAAGTCATCTGGCTTTGAGGGAGGGCTGATCACAGAGCTCTCTTGATGGGAAGCAGCAGAGCTACAAAGACATGTCTGAACTTTACTTAAAAATTGTGTTAGGGTAACATAGGGCTTCTATAACGAAAAGACCCCAAAATGTACAAAGTCTTAGACACAATAGAAATTTTCCTTTCTTTCTCTTTTTTTGCTTTTATTTTTAATTTTTTATTTTAATGTAAATTCTTTATTGTTTAAAGTATTACATATGTCTCCTTTCCCCCCCATTGATCTCTCCCCAAACATTCCCACCCCGCAGCACATGCCCTGAACCCCCCTACTATCTGAGACACAATAGAAATTTATTTCTCATTCACAAACTAGTCCAAGGTTGACATTTCTGGTTTGTGAGTGGCTTCCTTCCACCCAAAGATTTTGGAACCCAGGCTCCTTCACCATCCTCTCTAGATCCTTGAACTAACCTGCCATCCAGCCAATGGAAGGTGAAAAAGAATGTGGCAAAGGCTCACCCCATTCTTAAAAGCCTGAGCTCAGAAATGGCTCTCATCACTTTTTACATTCCCTTTGTAGGGTCACATGGTCACACCCAGATGCAAAGTGGGGTGGGAACTATAGTAGTTTGCTGGGAAGCCCATTCACATGGAAAACCACAAACTATGGAAGGGAGAACGTGAATTTTGATGGATAATTAGTAGTATTTGCTACAGAAAGGGAAATGTACCAAAATTGAAGCCTTCAAGGATTAAATAGTTAGGGTGCTATTACATCTAGGACCACACAGGCTATCACTGCTTTTGTGTCTGAATCCCCAGCCCTTAGAGCAGTGCTGAGCATATTTTTGAGAGATCTTGTCAAGTCTAAGATTCCTGTATTTCCTATATAGGGGTGAGGCTCTAAGAGGAGAAGAGGTAGGCAACTGCCATTGGAGATTTGGTTTGGAAGGACTGGATAAGGAAGTGATCAGAGCTGGAAACTAAATAAGTGAGGACAGAAAGAGGTAGACCAGTCAGAAGAGGAATGCTGGAAACCTCTCTTGGAGATCAAGAAAGTTAAGAGCGAGGGGCTGGTCAGCTACTGTGGCTCTTCTGAGAGGGAAAAGCATGGGGTGTGGAGTGGTTTGGAATCTGAGGTTGACATGCTTCCCACTGAGCCTGGTCAATATTTAAGGGGTGTTATGAGCCAAATTGTTTCTCCCTAAAATGTATATGCTGAAGGCCTAGCTCCCAGTGCCTCAGAATGTGACCGTATGTGGAGATAGGTTCTTTAAAGAGGTGACCAAGTTAAAATGAATGAGGTCATTGGAGTAGGCACTAATCTATTATGACTCAGGTGCCCTTATACGAAGAGGAGATAAGGACACAGATGCACACACAAAAGAAAGACCATGTGAGGACACAGGGAAAAGGTGGCCACCTATAAGCCAAGCAGAGAGGCCTCAGAAGAAACTAACCCAGCTGACACCTTGATTTTGGATTTCCAGCCTCCAGAATTGTGAGAAAATAAATTTCTGTTGTTTCAGCCACCCAGCTCTGGTACCTTGCTATGGCAGCCCTAGCAGACAAACACAATGGGGAAATGAAGTCTGCTATTCTTGACCATGTTTCTCTCCAGGGCATGAACTCAATGGGCAGCAGGCAATGGCTGGCGGATCTCCTGGGCTTCTAGGATACCCTGAACTTGGAGCCCTGTAGGCCCCCCTGGTAACCTGGACACAAAGGGTGCTATCCAGCCCATGAGTACCGTGCATCCCTATGCTGGCCACTGAAGGTCCCACAGACATGTGGTCATGGCCCCCAACCCCGGTGGGCTCAGTCTGGAGGGAGACAGAGAAGTCCTGTATTTCCTGGATCCTATGAAGACATTGATTACCAAATACTTTATCAATTCAAAAACAGTGTTTCAGGAGACAGGAAATACTAAGAAGCATGGATTGTAAGAACTGTCCTGATTTGGGGAAAGTAAAATGGGACCCCGGCATGTCTTTGAATCAAGGAAGTGAAATCGATTGTTAGAATACCGGGCAGTGTGTGCTATGAGGAGGAGGGTCTGGGGAGGGTGTGATTGATTCTGCCTTGGGAGGGAGGTCAGGACCCTAGAGAGGGGACATCAGAGGAGGACTATGCCAGGCTAACAAGGCAGGAGTGATATTCTAGCAGAGCGAACCTCATGGGCAAAGGAATAGGGTATATGTGTATCTGCAACAGCAAGAGTGTAAGTAAAGGAGCAAGTGAGGTGAGGCTGGACAGACAGACCGAGTGCAGACTCTGAAGGGCCTGGAATGTCATGCCAAAAGCACTCAACATTATCTAGATCAGAGGGTGGGGTTGAGACTGCAGGCTGAGAGAGAGCCATAGCTCTGTTCAGAACAGGTGTCCCCGAAGCCGATCAGCCATCGCAGCTCCTTCTGTGCGGCTCCCAGCGTGGGTGCACAGATGCTTGGTAACCAAGGGATGATCTATTTAAAGCCACTCCAAATCAGTTCTAGAAGGCATATGAGGACGGAGAAGGAGAGGTGGGAGGAGCTTGTCTGGAGGGAGAAGCCCTGAGCTCACGGTGGGGCTTGTGGCGAATCCCTGCTTCTCCCTGGGACTCACCTTCCTCAGTAACTCCCAATGGAAAATTGTGTGGGCTCAGGAGCCAGGCGCATGGGCTTAAAGCCAGGCTTCATCACCAATGATCTGTGTGCTTTGGTCAAATTCCTCAGCCTCTGGCCCTAAGTCTTCTATGTGAAGTGGGGGTGATAATAGTACCTAACTTTTAGCATTGCTGTGAGGATTTAACATGCAAAGCACTAGGATAAAAAAATTGTAATGATGACACTGATTGTGTTTAATTAACTTAGTGGGTTGTAAACTTAAAACCACGGAGCCTTTCTTCCAACATATTTAGAACTTCGATGTGTAAGAAAGGTCACAGTGAGCTCTTCTGGCTGAAGCAGGTGGGGACCCTGAGCCCAGGCCCTCAGAACGCCCCTCCCCAGGGCTGTCTCTCAGCCCCCCAGGTACCTCCACAGAATCCCTAGGCTCTAAAAACCCAGCTTGAAAGCAGTTGTCCCAAAGGACCTCTGAGGTCCCTCTCAGCTGCTCCTTTTAATCTAAGTCTTCCTTCCGAAGCTGGAGCATACATCTGGAAAATCTGCCCTTTACATTTCAACATCCATTTCCCAAAAGCATCAGCTGAGCCAGGCCCCCAGGGACAGTCTGGTCAAGGGGAACCGAGTTCGGCATGGAGAGCTGAGGAAGTTATTCCGGCAACAGCCCTGACTGCAAAGACCCGAAGTCGACCAGTACCACCTCCACATGTGACGTCGGGAAATTCCTGTTCAAGGAAATTTACATGTGATGATTCATTCCACTGCCCATCAAAGTCACCTTCCTTACTCCACAACTTGAGTCAAGACTTATTTTCAACATTGGCCTTTCCCTAAGACCCCATGTCTAATCCACAGTTGTTCTACCCGTCAGCCTTGTCACAATTTTCTCAGTGGGGCAGCTTTTATCTCCACTTAAATACAGACATCCTGGTGACATACTTCATAAAGTATCCTACTAGCATCTTTGCAATCTAGTTTCTTCAACTAATTCACTTTAGGGCTCCGGAGGCTGGACAGCAGAAAGTGCATTGCTCTCTTGGCCAAGGATCTGAAATGTATTATTCCTTAGTACATTGCTAATGTTGCAGTTGTGTTGCATTCCATGATCACTCAAGACATTAGCAAAATGTTACAGGTCTCACTGTCGCCCTGCGATCCATTTTCTGTGATGGAAGCGTAGCTGTGCCTCAGTTTAGCCCCATTAACCATCTCTGGACACCATGATCAAAGGTGCCCAGTCTCATCAAGAAGGCTTCACCTCCACATGCGTTATGGTAAGTTATGCAAATGTGACAGCCTCCATCAGTCACAGTCCAGGGTAGTTTCGCATCCTTTTGCCTCTACATGGTCGGCACTGCCATCTCACTATGAGTGGATGTCTCTCTTCTCCACTAAGGGACTGCATCTTGGTCTTTCCCCTCCAAACCCTAGCAGAGGTGCCCAATAAATTGATATGGGATCAATCAGATGGAATTAAATATGGGCACCTCTATGGGGCTGATTCAGCAATGACCCAAACAGACCTGGATCCTGACTGCAAAGAGGGAGGGAAGATAAGTACAAGTGTGATGGGGTTCATGACTTACAATTGACAGGTAAAATCCCAAAGCCCAGTGTAACTGTTGCAGGTCCTAACCCCACAGGAGGCAGGGATTTGCCTCCAGGATCTGCTAGCACTGGGCCTGGAGAGGATCCTGGAAAACATTACCCTGGGGTCCTGAAATGGAAGAGCTCCTTGCTTCCTGGGACCTCAGAGCCCACGGTGGAGCGCTGCCCAGCTTTTTTGGTACAAACAGAAGACTGGCCCCTTGTTATGTCTAGTTTCATTGCGCATTCACTTAGACCAGTGGTCGGCAAACTGCGGCTCTTTGGCCCCTTGAGTGTGGCCCTTCCACAAAATACCACGTGCGGGTGCACACGTACAGTGCGATTGAAACTTCGTGGCCCATGCACAGAAGTTGGTATTTTGTGGAAGAGCCACACTGAAGGGGCCAAAGAGCCACATGTGGCTTGCAAACCGCAGTTTGCCGACCACTGACTTAGACATTGGCCTTTCGGCTTCCATGGCTTGGGGGGACACAGTGAACCAAAGCTGGGAGAATGAACTCAATCCCCAGTCTGTCATCCGGAGCCCATCTTCATCGACTGCCCTTGGCTTTTCCTTCATTTGTGTCTGCCTTTAGTCACATACAGTTGCTTCACCCACCTTGGGCTTGTCACTGTTCTCCAAGTACTCCCATTCCTGAATGACCAGGTTCTCTGCACTTGGAATGCCTTTTCTTGCACCCCCTTTTATCCCTTCTTACTCCTACTGAGCTCCTACTTCAAAACAATCCCAAATGCCACCTCCTCCAGGAAACCTAGCTAGGTCTCCTCGGTTGGAATATTTTTATTCCTCTCTCACCTTTGCTCCCATAGAACTTATATATGTATGACATTCTGCTTGGATTGGAGTTAAATCTCTTACTTTCCTCACTATGTTAGAAACTCAATGAGGTCAAGTTATATATTATAATTGGTAATAATATATAATTATTATCATCTTACTGGCCTTCTTACCTGCATGTATGTGAGAAGTTCATGGATTTTGGCTTCAACTATTAGGTCTTCCTGGATATGTGAACTTAGATAAGTTATCTAATGTGTCTGAGTCTTAGTATTCCAGTCTGTAAAATGGAGGTAAAAAAAAAAATCCCTTTTTTCACAAGCTTATTGTGAGCATTAAAGAAGATGACTTGTATGAAGTAATAATGACAATAGAATCATAATAATGAGAGCTAACATTGATTAATTGCTCACTTAGGCACTGATCTAAACTCTTTACAAGTAGCTCATTTAAATCATAGTTTTGCAGGAAGTTATACAGTAATAGTACAGAGAGATCTCTTGTAGCCTACATCCAGTTTTCTCTAATGGTTACATTTACGTAGTTATGGTACAGTATCAAAACCAGAAAATTGACACTGGCATGATGACGTCTGAATATAGTTCTGTATAGTTTTATCACTTGTTTAGATTTGTGTAACCGCCACCACAATCAAGATACAGATCTATTTCATCTCCCCAAAGATCTCCCTAATGCCATCCCTTTACAGTTGCACGCACCCCTCTCTCTTCTACCACCCTTAATTCCTGGCTACCATTAATGTGTTTTCCATCTGCATAATTTTATTTCAACAATGTTATCTAAATGGGATGGCACAGTATGTGACCTTGTAAGATTGAAATTTTTTCACTCAGCATAATCCATTCAAGCTGTTGTGTGTGTCAAGAGTTTGTCCACTTGTTGTTGCTGACTAAGGTTCCATGGAACGGATGTATCATGGTTTATCCATTGAAGGACATCCAAGTTATTTCCAGCTTGAGGCTATTGCAAATAAAGCTGCTAGAAACATTCATGTATAGGTTTAACGTGAACATGTCTTCATTTCTCTGAGATAAATGCCCAGGGCTGCAATTGTTCATTTAGATGGTTAGTTCATGTTTAGTTTTTTTAAAGAAAGAGCCAACTGTTTTCCACGTTGGCTGTACCACTTTACATTCCCATGAGCAATGTGTGAATAATTCAGTTTCTCCACATCGTCGCCAGCATTTGGTGTTATCACTATTGTTTATTTTATCTGTTTTAATAGGTGTGTAGTGACATCTCATCATAGTCTTATTTTGCATGTTCCTAATAGCTGGTGATGTTGAACATCTTTTCACATGCTTGTTTTCCATCTGTATGTCCTCTTGGTTAAAATGTCTCTTCATGTCATTTGTCCACTTTCTAATTGGATATTTTGTTTGGTTTTTTAATTGAGGTATAATTAACATAAAACATTAGTTTCAGGTATACAACATAATGATTCAATATTTGTATATATTGTGAAATGATCACCATAATAAGACTAGTTAACATCCCTCAACATGCAGAATTACAGAATGGTTTTTTTTTCTTGTGATAAGAACTTTTAAAACATGGTCTCTTAACAACTTTTAAATATGCAGCACAATATTATTAACTAATAGAGGCCTGGTGCACAAAATTCATGCACTGGGGGGGGGAGGTCCTTCAGCCCGGCCTGCACCCTCTCACAGTCTGGGAGCCCTAGGGGGATGTCCACAGGGAGTGGGCCTAAACTGTCAGTTGGACATCCTTAATGCTGCCGCGGAGGTGGGAGAGGCTCCCGCCACTACCATTGGGCTCACCTGCCGCGAGCTCGGCTTCTGGCTGAGCAGCGCGCCCCCTCTGGGAGCACACTGACCACCAGGGGACAGCTCCTGCATCAAGCGTTTGCCCCCTGGTGGTCAGCATCATAGCGACCAGTCATTCCGCCATTTGGTCTATTTGCATATTAGCCTTTTATTATATAGGATAGTCATCATGCTATACATTACACCTTCGCGGCTTATTTATTTTATAACTGGAAGTTTGTACCTTCATCCATTTCACCCATCCCCCACCCCCACTTCTGGCAACCATCAAACTGTTCTCTGTATCTGTGAGCTTGTTTTTTTTTTTTTTTTAAATTTTTGTTTTTGTTTAGATTCCATATATAAAGTGAAATTATACAGAAGTTATACGTATATATCTTTCTCTGACTTTTCTCAGCATAATGCCTTCAAAGGTCCATTCATGTTGTTGCAAATGGAAAGATTCCCTTCTTTTTTTATGGCTGAGTAGTATTCCATGTATATGTGTACCACATTTTCTTTAATGATAGACATTTAGGTTGTTTCCATATCTTGGTTATCGTAAATAAAGCTGGAATCAACATGGAGGTGCAGATATCTTTCAAGTTAGGGTCTTCATTTTCTTTAGAAGTGGAACTTTAATACTGTTTTCCATAGTGGCTGTACCTGTAGTATTATTGTTTTTAATGTGGAGTTGTTTATATATGCTAGAAATGAGTGATTTGTCAGATATGTGGTTTGCACAATTAGTCATTTAATCTTCATGCCAACCTATGAAGAGGAAACTAAAATTATTTCAATATACTAGACGAGGAAGTTGAGGCACTGAGTGTTCGCACTATGCCTGGTACTCAGCCAATGTGCAGGAAATAATAATTTACTGAGCACTTTATGCCAGAATCTGCTTTTCTTTTTTCTTTTTTTAGTTGATTTCAGAGAAGAAGGGAGAGGGAGAGAGAGATACAAACAGCAATGATGAGATAGAATCATTGATCGGCTGCCTCCTGCACGCTCCACACTGGGAATCCAGCCTCCAATCTGGGCATATGGCCTGACCAGGAATCGAACCATGACCTCCTGGTTCGTAGGTCGTTGCTCAACCACTAAGCCATGCCAGTCAGGCCAAGAATCTGCTTGTCTTAAGTTGAGTCCCTCCAAAATAAGATTAGGTACCAAGGCAAGGATATGGTACAAGACATGTAGCTGGGAGAAGATCCCAGGAAATAGTGAGAGAGGGGAAGAGATGGGGAAGGGAGCTGCTTCTATGGACACATGGGGCTCAAACCCCCTGGGCACCCTCTGAGAGGCTGTGAGGGACATGTCTCTGAATCCAATAGTTGCACTGAGCAGCCTCAAGGCTGTGGTGTTTATCCACCATCTCCCAGTCCTGATTGGCTGATAGGAGTGTCTGGGGCATTAATTCTGCCACCCTTCACCTGCGCTGCTGCTTGAGCTAAGCATATTCCCGTGCAGAGAGTGTGTGGGGGAGTGAGAGGGGTGAGGGAGGTAGACCTGGGAAGCTGCTGGCAGGTACAGGCAAATGGAACTATCTTCAAGGGACTTGGGCGAGTGCTGGCAGCCTCTGCAGCACTACTTTAAGCACTTAACCTATTAACTCATTCTATCCCTGCAACAACTCTATGAAATGAGCACGATTTCTATCCCCATGACAACCGAGCTCCCAAATACTCACACACACATATTAAAGAAATGAAACTCCTACAAAGCGGTACTCATCTGAGTTCTGTGCAGTGCTCTCTGAAATTTTCCGGTTGTTTTAAAATTGCATAATTTTTAAAATGCTATTTTTCACCCACTAAATTGTTTTCAAAACCCAGTAATGGGCTGCAATCCAGTTTTGGAAAAGATGGTGCCCTCACATTCTATTTAACAGGACAATGTTGATGACGGTGATGATGTCATAGGTCTGGCATCAGGCCTGGTGCCCAGAAGGTGCCCAGCGAATGTTGGTTTCCTTTGCTTGCCCTTCTTGGCAAACCAGAGCTTCCGAGCAGCTGCCTCCCAGATTTGCAGACAGAGGCCTGGGCGGGTCCCAATCCGTCTCCTGCTCTGACCCA